GAACCAGTGCTGCATTCAACATACCACAATACACAAAAATCAATGTTTATCTGTGTTTTTAATATTTACTTTTAAATTACGAACTTGAGTAATATATAATACTAACATTTGAATTATAACCTACAGTTTGATACCAAAGTTATTGACATAAATTCATGAAATAGTAGTTGAATAATATTTTGAATACGAGTCAACAAACGAGATGACATAGTCTTTCAACCGTGACCCATCTCGAAAGAGTTAAGTCATTGGCTTAAAGATAACATCAAAGTGCACCTAAAAAATTCTGTACACTGAGTTAAAACAACTGGAAGTAGTAGGTGAGGGTTGACTTCAAAAAAATATTGGAAACTTAGCTTTTTCCACAAGCCACCAGAGTGAGAGAAACAACAAGCAGTACCTTGTATGACATAAGAACAAGTGAAAAAGTATGTTTATATAGCTCATTATGACTCAAGAAGACAAATACACATTAAAAAATCCTTGCATAAACAACAAATGTCTTCTTTCTTCTTTTCAAATTTTTTGTTTCCTGCTTCCAGGAATATCTTCTCTTCCTCATCTGTGGTTAAAACCAAGTTATATTGTGTCAGTGAGATATTTCGTGAATTTTAAAGAAACAGCCAGACTCTCATTTGTTTTGTCAAATAAAACCTTGTTTGGCTGATGCAATTTAAAAATTGGTATATCATTTTCTTTAACTAGAAAATTGGATGATGGTAAATATTCTGCATCTGCAAATTTTGGTGTTTTAGAAAACATTTTCGGATCCAATATATATATCAGCAAAGAACTGTCTATCCTTTCAAATTTGGTTGTTTAAACTTCCATAGGCTGTATCCATAACCAAGTTTAAAACTTCAACTCTGTACCTGTTGACTGCCACTTCCTGGTCTTAACTAGCATCAACCTCTCCTTGTATGATGGGCTAGAACTTCTAGTAAGCTTGTGCAAATTATGCATGGTATGCTTTGCTCTTCAGTCATTGGCATCTTCAGCAAAAGTATTAGCACAATGAAAGATTTTAGCAAAGTCATGACTCAAATCTCTAACTTGTGCCCTAGTCATCTCTGCTATTTTATAAGCAAAACCGACCAGCAGCTTGAAAATATTTTTACAAAAGAGCAGTTATGATAAACAGATATAAAGAGATTTGTCCAATTAGAATAATTTCATGATGTAAGAATACAGTCATATATATACGCTCACAGGAGAACACACTTTGGCAGGTAAACAATCTTTTTAAATTAACTGCAACACCATAATTAGGTAAGATTAAACTACATAAGGATGGTAGTGTTTAGTCTCTTACATAAGAACGGTAGTGTCTGTAAAGTAACCTACATAAGAAAGACAGTGTGTTCAATATATTGGCTCTAAACAAGTAACAGAGCAACTTCACCAGCTATCACAAATAGCAACTAGAAAATGGTGAGCAAAAGAATGCACTTTGATCAGTCTTTGGCATTAAATGTGAAGATATCTCCAGCTTGATGTATGTTGCCGTCTGATTTACCTTT